ACACAGTGCCATAAATGTTACCGTCCTCTTAGGGCAGCTTACATCTCCAAATTACTAAGCTTGGTTTGGAAAAGATTACTCAACTCCGCTTTTAAAAATTTCCATAGTTTGTCGATGAGAAGGATGGAAGTGTGAAATTTGAAAGGCTTGCAAGAGTAACACTCTGGCAAGTGCTCCAAGCTGTTTGACTGTTTTGGTCATTATGGTTTAATTTGCCTTGATAGTCGCCATATTAGTGATCGTTTGTATCAGTTTTGATGGGTAAGCCTTTCAGTTCATTGTGTTAAGATCTGGAGAAATTTTTAAAATGAGTTAGGAAACAAGTGTAACTAACACTTTTGTTTAAAACTTGTTAGTGTTAATAAAAGTGGTGTGAAGGGAAAAGTAACTGTAAAAAAAAAACTTTATTTGTTTGGGGAATAGTTAAAGGGTTTATTTCCAATTCATTAATCTTTTAGAGTAGTTTTTTTGGGAAAACAATATTGTGTTTTTCTATTCATTATATGTCTTGTACAATGCATAATTAACGAGAGGAATATTCAAAGTTTTAGTGAGCAATATTAAAAATAGTTTAGTTGTTAGAAATTATTAACTTTAGGTTCATTAATTTGCTTGACTTTCTTCTCAAAAGCTTTATTGTTTCATTTGTTATGTTTATAACAGGTCACCACCACGCCGAAGAGGCAGATCTATGGAGGGAGACAGGCAAGTAGAGCCTTTTCGATGAATTGATTGAGTGGCTGAGTTTTTATTATGTCAAATTCACATTCTCCTTGATCAAATAGGTTGGCATTTGATAGTGTCAGTGAAACTCACTTTGTTTGCAAATATTTTCCAAGGCTACAAATAACAGTCATCCATGTGCAATGAAACATAGTCAGATATTAGTCTGGCTTTTATATCATCATTATTACTGTGTTGCTGTAAAAAAGAATCTGTCTTTGTTATTTAAGCAGATCATAACCTCCTCATATGCTCCTTCTCTGTTATAATGAAGCAGATGTGTTGAAATCAATACATCTAGACTAGTAACCACAATGTTGTAGACTCAAATCCTTTTGGGGGTACTCAGTTTTTTTTTTCTGAATTGCCTGTGTCACTAACTGAAAAAAAACATCTCTCTCGTGCATTCACCAGGCTCAAAATTCACCATCACATTTCTAGCATTGCACCTATATAAGCTCATTTCAACATCCTGGTCCTGGCAGATTCAGGATGTTTATCACATGAACCGAGTTTACTGGCCTTAGCTCCCACGAGTGTCGTGTAGCTTACAGACTGTCCAACCACCCTAATTTTGTCGGGATTCCCCTGATTTTGCTCAAAAATCCCGAATCCCGACCAATATGGATCAGGATGGAAAACATCATGATTTTGACATCTGTTCTGATATTTTCAATTTAATTCTTATGATACAAAACCTGCTACAAGTTAATGTTCAGAAATATCAATCTATGTTACTGGGCTCTAGGACTGAGACTAATACCGTAAACCTGCAGATAGATGGAGTTAGAATAGAACAATTGAAATTTATCAAATTGTTTGACGTACGCCTGGATTCTGAACTTAATTTTAGTGAGCACATTAATTCTGTTTTGCAAAAAGGCTAGTCAACAGATAGGAGTTTTAAGACTTCTAAAGAATCTTATACCCACTGATGGTAAAGTACAACTATACAAAGTTGCCATATTGCCTCACTTAATTTACTGCAGTACCATTTGGCACTTCTGCAGAGGCTCAGACAAACATAAACTTGAAAAATTACAGGAGAGAGCCCTTAGAGTGGTTTTCAACAATGAGTCAGTCTCATATGATGAACTTCTGAAGCTGGCTGAACTCCCTTTGCTTGTCAACAGAAGGCGTCAGAAAATTTGCAATTCTCATGTTTAAGGCACAGAAGAATCAACTTCCAAGTCAAATACTGTGTATTTAGAACATTGCTGTTTTCCTTAACAGGTGGGGAGGTGGAAGAGGAAGAAGCAGGTCTCGTAGCCCAAGGCGATTCTAACTTTCCAGAAAGGTAGTGCAAATAACATCAGCCTATGTACTATAAAATCCCAGTTGTGAGCCCCAGAATTGTTCAATTTCTTCAGCGGGGTTTGGGTGGGCTTATATATGCCTGGGGGTAGGGGGATTTAGTGGGGTTTAGGGTTGGGGTTGGGGTTAAAATTAAAATTAGCCTGGGAACAGGCTCACTTGTGCCAGCTTGGGGTGGAAGAGCCGCCAGCACATCTTACCCATTCTTCTCGCCAGCTTGCGCTGCCAGCTCCACTAGCAAAAGTTCCCCTAATTCACATAAGTTAGCCTGCTCGCAGGCTATTACAAAATTACCTTAAACAAATTATTCTGGTTTTTTTTTTCACTGGAAATATTTTTGGTGTTAACAGTTCTCTGAGTTTCACAGTAACTATAGCTACTCCAAACCTGCTTTTTGTAAGATTGACGTGAAAGGAAGCTTTGGGACCCATTTTATAAAACTAGACTACAGACATAATTATCAACATCATGATTTAGCAGTTTGCAATAATTATTGCAAACCGCCAAATCGTGATGTTGGTCTTAAATTTAATGCTGGACATTAACAGTAATACCCAACATTCTGTTTCATCTAACAGGCTGCAGGATCATCTCACTAGTAATAAAATGTGTGTGGAAAATTATAAGGGGGCAACAACACATACCCCAATAAGTTCAAATTCACTCCAGACTTTGCTTTTTTTGCATGTTGTTGTAAACTTGCTAAAAAAACGTACAAAAATGTATAATGCTGGGTTGTGTAGTGTATTGGCACAAGATTCTACAAATATTGAAGTACAGTCAACTCTTTCTAAGTTAGACACCTCTTTTGGGACCAGCACAGTGTCGGTCTTAGAGAGATGTCCATCTTATGGAGTATCAACTAAAAAGTGAAAGGCTGGCACCAAATCTAGGTGTCCATCTTATAGAGGTGTCTGTTAAATTTTGAGAGTTGACTGTACAGTACCACCGGTGCACATCCTACAATAGCTACCGTAAAATTCCAAAAATAAGCCGCGGGGCTTATATTTTTCAAAGACCCTTTTTGAGGGGCTTATTTTTGGAGGGGCTTATCTACGGCGGGAAATTTGCGTTTCAAAATCGATTGGGCTAGCCTTATAGTTGGAAGTAAATTTACCGTTTTTGCTTTGTTTTACTTTCTATTTGATGGCAATTTTCCAAGTACAATGCCCCCAGGGGGGCTTATATTTGGAGGGGCAATTTAACGGAGGGTTTTTTGCGTTACCGGTTTGGGGGGGTTAAATTTGGAGAGGCTTATACGTGGAGGGGCTTATTTTCAGAATTTCATGGTATGTGATGGTCTAGCTATTCACAGGGCAAAGCAAGTAACTTTCTCCTTAGTTATTTATCAACGAAGCTAACCATGCATCCACTCTGCGGATTATTATACGTTTCTGAGAAACTGCCCACCTACCCCTCCCCTAAGCCAACATTAACGCTTACTTCTAACCTAGGGCAAAATGTTGGCTTAGGGGAGGGGTAGGTGGGCAGGTTCCCAGAAGCGTACAGTGGAACCCCGCCTTACGGTCACCTTGGTAATAAGGACACCTCGTTATTACGGCCACTTTTTTTGGCTGCCAGGCAAAATGGCGATACAGTTTCTTGTTAAAAAAAACCCTCGTTAATACGGTCACCCGTTAATACGGCCAAATTTGTGACGGTATTAACGAGTTCCACTGTATAATGATCCAAATCGCCCTTGTACATTTACATTGTTTTGTTATCATTTTGTTTTGTTGCAGATGACGACACCAAGAAGGCCTTTGCCACACAGTTTGCTTTCCAAGCATTTTTAGTGTAGTTTTTAGACTGTATGTTTTCATCATAGAGTACATACATAACTAGCCTGTGTAGAGACATCCCCCCTCCCTCAGATTTTTCTCTGAGGGAGGGGGGACGTCTGTACACAGGCTAATACATAACTTGTTTTTAATTATTCTTATCTTTTTTGAAAACAGCAAAATAACCTTTACAATTTGTGTTAACTGCAAATGGAACTACAACCCCAAACACAATATATATGTATTTTCAGTTGATGGCAGCTGTTATTTTCGTTAAATCCTTTCCACTCCATTTTCTACAGTATTTGCATAAACACAAATTGCATTACTTGTGACCAAACAATTGCTAGAATTAAGCTTGATGCTGGTAAATGAACGTCTACCCTCAGTGTTTTGTAAGATTTATTTATTGTTTGTCCTATCAGTGCTAATAAAGTTGTTACTTGAACTGGAAGAGTGAATGGAGTTAAAAGGAAATCATACTTCAGATGGAGAATCCGTTATCTACAAATGGGTTAATAAAAGAAATGGTTTTCAAATGAAACTTTTTTAATGTTAACTGGCTCGTCCGTTTTACTGTCTCAACTTCAAATAGTTGTTTCATAAATGCAGCGAGTCTCTTCACAGTCCTTGTCATTCAGGTCTGTTGAGTTGTTCCCTTCGCCGCGCCGCCGACAAAAGAACCACGAGAGAGCAAAACACGCGGTGGTAAGAAATCTCACCGCCAATGAAACTCCTAGCACTACCTTCGCTAGTCCAATGTGGTCGTACTCCAGGCAATATCCCTGTTTTCCGCACCTGCAATGAAAAAAGTTTCACTAAGGTGTTCTTAACCTCTCTTACCCGTTTTTCTTTTCTTCTCACTCTCTCACTGCTGTGTGGGTTGATTTGTTGCCACCACTTCGACAGAGCTTGC